TATTGCCTTATTAGTATTCTTTATATAAAGAATACTAATTAGGAGTGTTTTATCAGGTTTAAAGCCACTACACGTGACATATTATGGTTGACATGATTTGCTAATAAGCTTATGAATTATTAATGAGTGTTTGATGTTACGTTAATTATTGCTGTGTTTATAATACAATATTGAATATATTAAACACATTGTACACCACACCACATATTAAATATTTTCAAGAAATTCTGAACAGAGTCTGGATCCGAAGAAGAAAATTATAAATATTGTAGAAAAAATTTTCCTCCCTATATGATTCGAATATACGCACCTTCTGTCAACGCCCAAAATATACGTTGCACAATGGGCGGTTCTGGGCTGCCGTTGGCCGATAGACAATCAATAACCAAGGAACCACTGTCAGAGCTCGTCACGAAGTACAAGACGATCGTTGCCATAGATAAACCGAATAAGAAGCCTTCTAGATTCTCACCATATTGCTGGAGTACGTCGAAAAACATTTGGCTGGACGTTCGGCAAGACAGACGGTACAGTCCGTTGTATGATTCTGTGGAAAGTCCACCACCAAGGGTGGAGTTGCATGTGATGTTTTTCAGCACTGCTTCACGTTCCATTTTGATACCAACACCGCCAAAGATACAAAGCCACAAGAAGCTGTATAAGATCGGTGCTGTCATAGTTGCGTTGATCACATTACGAATAGTTCGACCTTTGGAAACTTTGGCTATAAACATGCCAACAAATGCAGACCAAGCAATCCACCATCCCCAATAGAAGATCGTCCAGTCATCCATCCAAGTTGGGTTCTCCATTTTGTCAGGAGCGTTTCCAAGCTGAGCGAATGCATCAGTGTGAAAACCAAGTTGAATGATATATTGAAAGTAGTATCCAATACTTTGCACGTAGAGATTGAGTAGATACCAAGTATTATCATAGAACAAAACAAACATCATCAGTGCCATTCCCATGCAGAAGCAGATCTCGCTAAGACGACGGATGCCTACTTTGAGTCCTGATATGACTGAAATGGTCGCAATTACAGTGATTATCCAAATAATAATAATCTGATTTGTGCTGTTCTCTGCTATATCACTGTTCATTCTATTGATGCCAGTATTTAATGTGATCACTCCGAGACCAAGGCTTGTGCATACACCAAACATGGTGACAATTACGGAGAGAATATCGATGACGTCACCAATCCATCCATAGATCCTGTCTCCCATGAGAGGATGAAAACATGAACGTATTGTCATGGGTAATCCTTGTCTGTAACTCACCAGACCCATGAGGATACCAACCAGACTGTACACTACCCAAGCATGAACTCCCCAGTGGAACAATGTGACATTGATAGCATCCTGTGCACGTTGGTTGTCTGTGTGTCTAACAAAAATACAAAACTGGTTATTCACAAAATTGCATAATTGCTTCAAAGAAATCGTGAACGTACCAGACGTATTAGTGTCCTTAGAAGAAGGAAGGCCGGGCATAAAAATTGTATGACAAAAAAGTTAAACTGGCGATCGATATATTTGGTTTACTTTTGTGGAAAACATCACAATATATACTACCGCGAAATTTCGGTTTTATGATTTATATTATAAATTAAGATGAATGTAAAGTATACCGTAATAAATATAATCGTGAGAGAGGGCAGAGGCATGTAGGAGATACAACGTTACTACCAGTGAAGAATGCAAACAAATCAAAAGAAAAGAGAAAGTGTTTTCTCACGAAACAGTGGAGTTGTGTTTGTAGTTTCAGGTATTGTATTTCCAGCAACGCCGGACCTATTACCTCATGAACAAAATTTTGATCTCGACAAGTCTATTGATACCTTTTTTCAGAAAGCGGTATCAATTTCCCGTGCGTAATACAAAATGACTGAAAAACGGCAAATTTCGCAGAGCTATATTATCCGCATTTATAAAATAACATGTATATAATGCGTGCTCTGATTGGTCGAAACCCGTGTTTGGATCAGGCCATCCAAACACGGAAGACTATCGTGATGATGTTATTCTATAAAACAATTACTTTATGGTTTCCGTGTTTGGATGGCCTGATCCAAACACTTGGGAATATTGCTAGAGTTAAGAAAAGCGCGCAAAATTACTCGCCTTCGGCTCGTGTTTCGCGCGCTTTTCTTAACTCTCGCAACATTCCCGCGTGTTTGGATCAGGCCATCCAAACACGGAAACCATAAAGTAATTGTATAATTACAACATTTCGCAACGAAGCATCGAAATATTACTAATTTTGTGATGCTCTTTCAAGCTGTGATGAAATTTTTGTCTAGACTTGTCTAGATCAAATTTTGTTCATTAGGTAATACTAGGTCCACTAGAGAGGCTCAGATGTGACTTCCACTACCGCTTCTTCATGGTCCCTTATTGACAGGGGTAGCGAAGTCAAACCTGAACCTCTGTTTGTTATCATCACGTACACTCACCCCGACCAGTCGAGGTTTTATCATAATCATGAGAGGTATATATAGTGAACCATAATTTCCGAAGAGAATGGTTCAGTTGATTAGATTAATAGTTTGGGATTTCCGCTTGGTCCAAACCTAGGTAAAGCCTCTACTTTGCTTTTCTGAGTAATATGCTACATAATAAAGGAGTGCCTCGTATATTAAAGTCGCGTTGTTAATACAAAGTCAAAACGTGTGCGGCTATAAAATTCGGGTTATTTTTATCGCAGAGTTTCAAAGTACATGGATGGAGTTATGTTAATCTTCGCGTTACCCTTAAGAAACAAGCTCAGGGCCGTACGGGCCGGGAGGGCGGCACCAGGGGTAACGGCTCCATCTCCCCCAGAGAAATTTAACGCACCACTTTTATAATGTTGCTTATGAATGGGTGATTCTTTATGGAGTTCGGGATTGGCCATAAACTCTCTTTTGGACGCAAAAACAAACTCGCTGCGAATGCTTGCATCTAATTAAAATAAAGTGCGAGCATTGTGATTGGATGAAAGCACTCGCAGCGAGATTGTGAGTTCACTTTTGCGCAGTTGAATGGCAAAAAGGCTTAGACGTGCTATATATGACTGAGAATGCATTAACATTTGGGTTATTTCAACATATAGGATTACTATCTCCCTGGTGAAAAAATCCTGCGTATGCTTAAATACATGAGATATTCGTTTTTAGTTGTATTTAATTAACAGTTACAAATATAATTTATTATGCCTTATTGCGGGCCGGTTGAATGAATGCGCTGGCTTTTATTTTGATGGTTTAATGAAGCTAGAGTTTATGCGTGTCTTTGACTTTGTGGGGAAATTTCAGGTTATATCTTCATCAGTTTCGACAAATTTTAAGAGGGAGTGATCGAGGGACAGGTTAGCCTGCGCAGCTGGCGGTTTTAAGGGGTTGGAGTTGAGACACGACCACAAGGGCAGTGGAATTAGGAAGACGATGCATGCTCGAGAAAGGCGAAAATGCGGGTTTTTGGCCGCTAGGACAGGTGTTGTGATTGGGGTCAAAATCAAAGAGAAATATATTCGTGTGCGAAACACGAGGATATTATCCACTTTCAATAATAATCTCTATGGGCCCTCTATTGATACGTTCGATTCATGACGTCAAACAATCACTTCAAATCATAATACTATATTGTTAATGAATTACTTCAAAACATACAAAATAATGCATTCCAAGGCCAGTATAGAATTGAAAAGAAATCCTTCAGTTAGTCATCCAAGATGACGACGATGACTCAGGTGAAAAACCACCTATAGAGTCATATCAACGGAAATGGAGTTATAATTAATAGTTAACCTAGTAACACAAGTTTTTAATGACTCAGTCCTTAATAAATAAATATTGTCCTGCCCTGCCCACGCACCAATATTAAGCGTCTAAAGAGCTTTATTATGATAATATGTATTCCTCTTAGTGATTAAATAACATTTCTGATTGTTGATCGGAAGACGGTCACTAGGCCGGATTCTGTCGGCAATCCTTAATTTGAAAGCACTCACCAAAACTCACCAAACCTTTATTTTATTAATCTAAAGCTTGAAATGTTCTCCGTAACTATTTATGCGTGGCTGTCAAGTTGTCAACTCTCATCAACGCTCATTCTCGTTTGATCAGAGCTTAAAACTGATCCATTGAGATGAATTTTCGCAGCCTCTCGATCGTCGTCTTTTCAAATTAAAATAATACATTCGGGATGCCGCAAGCTTTACTTCATAAGACATATAAATAACCAAAATTGTTTCCATAACTCTTGGCAAGAGTTGTGAGAAGCGATATGGTTCTTTGATCTGACTTGAGAGCATAAGCAACCGCACTATGAAACGTCAGATAAATTTTATGCTGGTATCATAAAGTGGTATCAAAAAACCTCGTTCATATGTCTTGTTTTCATGTATTAGCTACGAAAGTCAGCTACTTTTTTGGCTATTTTCTTGGCAAATCTTTTTTACTTTTAATTAAGGCTGCTTTCCAGTTGAGCATTTTTCATATACACACCTAAAAACGCACAGGTTGTTACAGGTCCGCAAACAGGTTGTTACAAATCTGTTCATGCACAAGCTGTCAACAAGTTGTGTTCGCACTAAACAAGCTTAATGCCGGGCATTATCACTATTTATCAGACTTGTCAGTCTAACAAGTCTGATACAGTAATGATATAACAAGACTGTTACAAGGTTAATAACGACACAAGTTTGTAACAATATAATTATTATTTCATGACTGTATAGGACTTGTTGGAACAACCTTGCAACAAGTCTGATATAAATAACAACAAGGTTGTTACAACTGTTAACAAGCTAGTTGCTCCGACATACTTGTTGACAACTTGGAACAAGCAGTGCGAACACAACTTGTTGACGGCTTGTTGGCAGACTTGCTAAAGTCACAAGATGTGAAATTTGTGTGAAAATGTAAGGGGAGTTTGATCGAGTATAAGGCATAGTTCCCATCTTTAAATTTGAAGGAATAAGTCTTCTCAGTTTAGAAAATTTTATCAGTTGCAAAATCAAGTTAATTAATAGTCGATCGATCATGCATGCATGCATACATGCATGAAAAATATGCAATATGAATCAATCATGCCAAATCAAAAACGCTCTCAGTCTCTGCAACTATACGGGCTGTTAGGACTGACCTACATAACTTACATTGCCTTACATTGTCCAGTTTCAAAAATATAAATTAAGAATTGTGAGATATTTTACCAAAATCGGCAGTGACCAGAGCTGGTTTAACTTTTGTATATCGCCCATCAAGTGGTATTTTATTGCATTGTGCTACGAAACAAATTATGGCGTTGTTGATCATACAATAGGGACCTTAAGCATGTACGACGGCAACGCGACGACGACAACCAAAACAAACTTCAAATAAATTATTGCGAAGAAGAGTTGTTATGTATTATCCACTGCATATGAATTGAATTCAGTTTGAAGAGATGAAAACGAAGGCTTTATTGTTAAAAACGCTTCTGCTGAGCAAATTTGTAGTTTTACTTGTCGCGTCTTGACATGTTTGCGTTGTACACGAGACGTGAAAATCTCTGGTTTGCCGTTGTAAAAAGCACTAACACAACGTCTCTAACTCCCGTGGGGCTTTTAATTATTCATTTCTTTTGTACGAGATCAGGAATATCATTGTGTGAATAGCCGTCGTCGTCGCGTTGCCGTCCTGTTTGCTTAAGGTCCCTATTGAATTGTTGCGCAGCAAGATGGTTAGATGGCTTATATAATTACTTCAGCTGCTAGAACATGATCATATGGCTATATACTGAATTAGTTATTAGCTGATCATGCATTGCCATAAATAAAGTTTACTATTAAAGTTCCGAAAACTCATGGTTTTGCACGTACGGTATACATGTATACAAATGTATGGTCAGATTATATATGAGGGGAAAACACCACTTTATTATAAGGCAGCGTTTACACTGTACCGTTTTCGTAGCGTTCTCGTATTGTTCTTAATCCTCAAGGGAACGCAAGACAATAGTCTAGTTTTCTCGAACAATACGAGAACGCTACGAAAACGGTACAGTGAAAACGGTACAGTGTAAACGCTGCCTGATACTGTATACAGTATAGCCGATCATTCTAGTTCTTTTTGCGCGGTATGCCAATTATGTCGTTCGCTTTAGTGCGAAATTATTTCACCTTAATTGCGTGTGAAAAGTGCTCCAGTACTACGTCACCGAAACCAGGCGTTTATCTCGCCGCCCTGACAAGCAAATAAACGCTAAGTAAATACCTCGTTACCTGATCCATACGTACAGCAGTAACACTGGACCTATAAATCATTCAGGGGAATTCTAGCTCTAGGAAGAGCATAGCTCAGGTAAGATTTTCTTACAATTAAAAGGTCAATGCGTAAGTAATAAGTATGTACTTATTAACTTATATGATAAAAAAAGTTCTGCATGGCGGCGATGTTACATACGGTTATATACTAACCGTGTAGCTCAGTTGGTTAATTTGATAAGTCGTGGTCTATACCCAAAGAACTTCACGACAATATACATGTACAAGATATAAGGGCCAACCTGGAATGATTTAACCGGGAATTCAACTGCTTCTCTGCAATCAATCAAGCGTTATCAACTGAAATATTTTAATTTGTTTCCATGTTCTGTATATATACAGTGCAGATTAGCACTTTTATAGTCGGAAAATTAAGTTGAACATTAAGCACCAATCCGTGTCAGGGCCATGTTCTTTGCAACGTAGCGCGACCTTTCCTTCCCACGATAATTAAAAATATTTGAACTACAGTATTTCGGTGAAGAAAAAAAACGGAAATGAGGGCTGTCAATACAAAAACTATTCTCCGACTATCTTCAGTAGCAATGCAATGCAACGCGGCAACGACCAACGACAATTCATGACAGTTAATAAATTAAAGTTCGCTAAACAAATTTCTATGGTGAGTATAGCAAGTAAGCCAGTCCGATTATTTAAAGAATCGACTGGTTAGATTAAAATAGGGCGGAAACGAATATTTTGTATCAGCTTGTTAATTTTCCGACCAATATTAATGTCCATATTTCTGCCAACATATGTCCAAAAGACAACATAAAAGACAAATATTAATCAACTTGGCAGTATACTTTCACTAGTTTAAAAACCCTGAAATTAACATGCAGTACAAGAAGTTGTTTGCTTTTGCATTATCAATCGATCTTTACATTGATAAAAGTAAAAGTACAATGAACATATGAAAATAAAAAACATGAGTCATACCTTCCCCAATATCTGTTCGCTCCGGGTATGTAATGATAAACGGGTTCAGCAACAGAAAAATAAAAGAGTCCGATAGCTATTCCAGCCGAGAACAACATGGTGAAGTAAGTTGCGTTGCTGAACTCTGGTTCATCATGCTCCTTTCCCAGTTTCATTTTACTGTATTTCGAGAAATAGACGACCAGAAGGAAAATGAACCAAACATCTTGTGTGCCAATGTAAAGCCATGTGAATTTATCTGTAATCCAACGCTTAGCATCCTTCATGCCATTTGAAGCTCCGTCAGTATCAAGTACGCACCATATCACGAAAGCCCAGATAATGAAACCCGAGATAATCGTAACAACTGGGTTGAAATCAAGGGATATAAAACCAAGTTTTGCTTTGAATGTTCGACATTTATTTCTGCTCCTGTTGTTGTTCTCCATGCTTGCCAGAGCTGGTACACTGTGACTACAGAGACTACCTAACCGCACTCTATATATCTGATTTTTGCATTAATTAATCATACGTTCAACATGACTGCATTTCATTAGAAATACAAAAGGAAAAGCAATAAGGAGGTATTAAAAATATTTTGTTCGACAATGCCTTTGATTTCAAAGCAATAGCTAAGACTTAAGTACTTTATAAGTGCTTAAGTGTTTTTATAGCGCCGGCAAAATGGGAAACTATCCCAAAATATCCTTTTAGTTTTTATGATTTTAACTATTTCTATTAAGGCAATGCAAGACCATTTTTATTGTTCGAAAACAGGAAAATGAGGTCAAAGAGTGAAGGAGAAAATTCCAAACTGAAGCGGAAATAATCAAATAAAAGACGTAATAAATATGCTCGATAAGGGCATGTCCACATTCAAGTGCAGTGCCGAACTAGCGGCCCACGCTAGGAAAAATGTAATTATTAAGATAATGGCGGCGGAACGAGTTTTATTCTGGGAGTGGGGTTAATTTCCAGCTAAGTTGGTTACCATAGTTTTCAGTGCACTGACACGACAGGCAAAACATGATCCAACTGCCACAGCACGGTAACATAGGAGGACGATTAAAAATTTGAAAAATTGAGGCTCGGAAATCAGTCGTTTCCTGCACTTTCTGGCACCGAATTGAAGAATTTGAACAACGAAAATGCTGCGAAAAATAGATTCATAATTGGTTTTGGTCAGTTTGTATGACTTGGTGGGAATCTAAAATCGCATAGTTGGCGATGGAAAGAGCTCACGCTTATTTTAACCAAGACATATTATTTATTTATTTATTTATTTATTTATAAACTTTGCCGTTTACAAATTTTACGCTAGTACAAAACGGCACAGGAACGCCAACACAGCGTAAGCCACTTACGTTGACGACCTGCATTAAACAAATACAATACACATAATGGCATAATGCACAGCTTAACACACTAGCACAGGAACATTTGCACAATGTAAATAATATATATAAACAATGAATATATACGTATACCGTAGTTTCAAGCGAAACTAGCTAATAACAGCTAGCAGACCAGTTAGTAAGTCTCTTGCTTGGTGTGGCATTTCAGACATATACAGTTTTCCATGACTGTTGTTCCAGTGGCTCTAATGTAGTGTCAAACAACAGGTTTTTGAAACTTGTGAACGAAATATCCGGTTCGCGTAACTCTTCTGGAAGAGTATTCCATATCCTTGTAACTCTCACCACCGCATAACTGTTCTGCTGGCATAATATTTTGGTTTTAGGTACGTGATATGTGATGTTAGATTAATCACGGTTAATAGAAGGAGACTCCTTCTATTAACCGTGGATTAATATACTTATATACAACTTAATAATTATACAACTTAATCCGGCTATTTTTAGTGTGCATGGATTAGACCCCATGTGAAAACTGTGACGGATGCTGTAGCGCCCTCAGTTTAAATTCACTTTAAGGAATAGTTCATTAACCACAATGTTGGTAATTTTGTTTTGTCGAAAGTCAAATACTAAATTTTGCGGAGACAGGTGGAGAATTTGGCTAGGGGAAAATTGTGTATACTGCATGCAATGCGATACAGCTAATTATTGCGGCTAATTCGGGCTTTCCAACGACATATTCCTTGGTATAATTTAGCCATAATGATTAAGCGTTGTTCAGCTGTTCATGCATGTGCGAAGTATGCGAGCTATGAAAGAATGCCTGTGAGCCATTACAAAATCAGAATTTGTAGTTATTCATACAAATCTTTGGAAATTAACCAACATTTTATTTTATCTAAACTTTCCTTGTGGAGCAGACTATGAAATCTTAGTATGATTAGTTATAACAACTTTTGTGTTAATACGCAAAACAACCGGTCTTAAAATTGCTCTTGGGGGGAGGGGGTTCTGTGTTCCATTGGAATTTTTGGTTAGTTTGTTCCTTAGCCGTGTTCCCCACAAATATTTTACCATACTCCTTGTTCCCCCGGCTTAATTAAATGTTCCTTTCTATTTTTTGTCTTTGTTCCCGTGTTCCCATTGCAAAATATGCCTTGTTAAGGCTTGTTCCCTGGAAAAAGCTGAGAGATCCTCAGTATATCGATATCTTAGCGATGACTACTAAGACCAGCATTCCCCGCGGGCATCAAGCCTTGTGACGTCATTATGCATAAGGTCTATTAAAAAAAGTTCGTCTTTCAAAAATCTTAAACCTTAAACATTGAGCGCGCAAGGTATGATGGGTAACTTCCTTTTAGAGTCTTAAACTCGGAAAATTTACTTTGCAACAATGCTATAGGGTGTTAAATAATGAACACTTTCGATGTAGGGCTATTTGGTTCACCAAACTATTCAATGTCCAATAGTAAGCTCCAAATAAGAAATACCCATCATACCTTGCACGCTCAATGATTAAAGTGGAAGTCAAGTCCGTTCTGCGCATCGGTTCTGCTCATAACAATGTGAGGACCCTCTGATGTAAACATTGCCCAAATTTCGAATGTTTCGAATTTTTCTGAACATAAACTCTATTTCATATTCATTTAGAAGCATAGCGAACCAAAATAGTGTTAGATATTCAGACAGTAGATCATATTTTGAAAAATACAGCAGCTCAAAATGTAACACAAACCGTTTCTTTCCATACGGACTTGACTTCCACTTTAAGGTTTAACTGACTGAGATTCTTGAAGGACAACCTGTTTTGAATTGGCTGTATACACTACAGCTACAGTATAAATGCATAATCTACATAATCTACATGAACGGCAGGTTTGCTTTACTTGCCCTATACTGTCTGCTATACAGTAGTGCATTAATACAGTTAGAAGTATGTCACTTATCAGTCTAAACAGTAAACATCAGAATAACATGAAGCACTAAAAACCCGGTATAGTTAAGAAAAGAGTTAGGTTAAAAATTACTTCGAATTTAAAACTTTATAAAATCTATTCTTCGTTTAAAACTTTCTGCGAAAGTGGCTCGCACTATTCATGTGCGACTCGCATGTTTTGGCGCCTCGCAATTTATGCAGACCCAAATCATAAGACGATATATAATTCTCTAAAGAATTTCAATACTGCATGTATAACTAACTATTATTGTGGGAGAATACAGACAACATGTCTATAGGAATTGAAATTTTTTGACGCCCTTTTCCTGAACAAAGAAAATTAAAACCAAAATAGTTAAGCCTTTTATTATAAAAAAAAATACTTAAGACTTAACTTTACTATGTAAGTGCAGGATCTAGGAAATCTTAAGCTTATATTCTATCAGTTCCATACTTTTCTTCCTGAAGGTCCAGTAAGGACCATCCTTCATTCGTCCAGTGTTAGTATACGGGAGAAAACCTTGACTAAACCAACGTCGTAAAGCAAGAGTGCCTGTTTTGCTGCATAATTTTCTATATGCAAATTGGTCATTTTCTCGGACATGCCCATGGGCAAATATCGCACATGACAATTACGCTGAAGCTAAAAATATTTAGTACTGATCGAGAATATTCTTTTTTCCATATTTTGGAGATAAAAAGATAATCGCTATCACTCATTTTGTTTTGTTTTTTTACTTTAATTGTTTTTTTAATTGTATCTCACTTTAAAGATATTTGGTACCATTGTATTAACTACGTGCACAATTAATAACATCCTTGACCTTATAGGTTCGCGTGGTAAAATAAATATAATCGTTTTCTTTGCTTCAGCTTTGCATAATTGGCGAAGCTAGTGGATCCGGTCTTTCTTGAATCTCGGTACAAAAATTGACTTATCTTTCACGAAAACGAATGTTCACGAAATTTAATGTTCACGAAATTAAGGTGGCTCGATACAGTTTTCAAAACGTCAGGTGTATAATAATTTGACAGTTGTAAACGTCGTATTATTAGGTTTTATACAGCAGATATCAGGATGTTCATCTATTTTGTTGTTTCTTCTTTTAATTTATGTCGGGTTTGGTAACACATAGTTCGTTACTGTGGCAACACACGCCTACGAAATTCGCTCTAAAAGAATAATAACAACAAATCGTTTTATTAACAACCAATTTTGCACTTAGAACTGAATTACACTGATTTTACAACTGTAAGAAACTATATAACTAAATATATGTAGCAATATACGATTTAAGAATAGTTAGCAGTTGAGAGTTAAAAAATGTTTCGTGTCGTATCAATGTTGCTACAGACAGTATAAAGGTCTATGAAACATTACGGGAACCACTGAGTATTTTAATAAAATATAAAACTGAACGGTAACTCCGAAAATAGACATTTTAATATTCTAGCTTTCGACTAAGATTCAGTCATCATCAGGAAATCGACTAAGATTCAGTCGTCATTCCTGATGATGACTGAATCTTAGTCGAAAGCTAGAATATTAAAATGTTTATTTTCGGAGTTACCGTTGTTTTATAGTTTATACAGTTTATATAATACCTTATTGAATTCTGATCGTTTAATTGGCTGTTTATGGTGATGATGATGATGATGAGATTTATTGATCATCCACAAACAAGGGGCTTTTCAGAATCAATTATATAAATACAAATTTAGTTACATTACAATGATAATAACCAAAACAGAAACCTATAATCTATATAAATAGTATATTATATTATTATGTACTAATACTAGACTGTCATATATTTAAAAATTACTTAGTAAAATCTTTTTCAGTTCGGTTTTAAAACTACTAATCGTTCTAATTAATTTAAGATTAGATGGCAGCTCGTTCCAGAGTTTAGTTATACGATATTGGAAAGTTTTTTGTCCTGTTGCACTAGTAAAAAGAGGAATGTTAAGTTGACCAGATTGCCTGGTTATTCTTCCGCTTACTGCTCCTCTGGCAGTAAATTGCGAACTCAAATATTCTGGTACCATTCCATTCATGCACTTAAAGGCCAATACTGCGTCTCGATAGTATAGATGCTCTTTCACTGGAATCCAATGAAGCTCTTTTAATATTGGAGTCACGTGATCATATTTTCTATGACCGCTGATGATACGTGCGGCAAAGTTCTGGATATATTGAAGTTTCTTGATATTTTTCCCGGAGGTTGACGACCAGACGGAGGAGCAATAAAAAAGCTTGCTAAACACCGGCATTAATAATAATAATAATAATAATAATGAGTAATTCCTTATTAAAAACATGTTTAATTCTGTTAATTTGTCCTAAAATTGACATGCACGAAGCTGTCACTTTCACAATGTGATCGTTAAAATTTAGATTACGATCAAATGTCACTCCCAAGTCTTTCGCTACATCTCCAGGGATAAGATCTTTTCCAACAGTGAAAGGCAAAAATCACCAGGTAGTTTTGTAATCAACTGTCTGGTTCCGTAAACCATGAGGTTGGTTTTGTCAGGATTTAAAAGCAATAAATTCTGGAAACACCAATTTCGAATTCTTGTAAGATCATCATTCATGAGGTCCATGGCTAGATCATAATCTCTAACAGGAAAACACATATACAGTTTTGTATCATCAACGTAAAAATCAGTTGGGCATTGCTGTGGTACTGATGGTAGGTCGTTAACGTAAATGCTAAATAACAAGGGCCCAAGTATGCTTCCTTGTGGTACCCCATTCACACTTCTAGAGTATCCGAGAGTGTACAGTTAATACGGACTGTTTGGCACCTGTTTGTCCCCGAGCCGACGGCGAGGGTACTAATTCCCCCCGGCTATTTACACCCGGGGAAACAAAAGTATTAGCCAAGTCTAAAGTTCATCAATGAGCGTGAGCGTGGGTTACCGTGAGTGGTTCGGTGGGTGGTCATTCTCACTGATCTGAAAAATATGGCGGACTGTCATGAATAGCGGACACTGATTGGTCCAATTTAAAGTTTGCATTATAACGACTGCATGACGACAGCGAAATAACAAACATTTCTTGATTTGATGATTGGTAAATTTCGCATTTTTGCAAGATTTTGTAAATTCCAGAAAGGGCGAAAGAATCAGCTAAAAGAAGGGAGTCGACGTTAACGAAGGTAAGTTTGTTTTAAATATTGATTTTATAATGGCTTTAAAACCCGACGGCCTTTGCGTATATGAAACA